GGCTCGAACTCACAAGACCGCGAGATCATGACCTGAGCGGAAGTCGGCCGCCTAACCGACAGAGCCACCCAGGCGCCCCTGTAATAATTATTTTAATGAAGTATCGGAAATAGTTTTAAACGTCTGATCAGTAGGACTATGCACAAATGTGGGAATATGCCGCACTTTACAGAAAAATAAAGCCAAGCCTTTAAATGTACGAAAACTTGAGGCATAGATCCCTTCTGAAAGTTTCTCTTTTAACACACACCTCATTCATAGCATTTTACATTACAACCGGCTGAAGCAAAAAACGCGGCCACTTTAACGTTTTGTACAGTATAGAACGTGGCCATAACAGTCTTCGCGGATTAAACGGTCTAATTGGGTAAATCACATGGCACAGGGTTTCGCTCAATACCCGTCGGCAGGCTGCCTCCAGGGCCCGCAGCCTCCCCGGCCTGCCATTCTGCGCCGTCTCCTTGCTTTCACCCTCCTAGAATGCCCTCACCCAAACACAGAACGCTAACAAGCTGGGAACTGGATTCTCTCCTGGCTCAAGGAGAGAGATGCAGCCTGGATGATGTGGGGGAAGCCAGACCATTACCTTGACCCTGGCCTGGGATCCAGGCACCCTGAGAATGCCTTCGTGTCCAACCCTCTCTCTGTTTTCTTCTTAAAGTTTATTTATTGGGGGGGGGGCGGGGAGAGGAAGAAAGAGGACCCCAAGCAGGCTCCACATTGTCAGCACAGAGCCCGACACGGGGCAGAGCCCGACACGGGGTTCGAACCCATGAATGGAACCGTGAGATCATGACCTGAGCCTAAACCAGGAGTCGGACGCTTAACCAAATGAGCCATGCAGGTGCCCCAGTCCTCTCTTTTCCAGAACAGGACAGCAGCTATGAGAGAAGGAAGCCAACATTTCAACCAGCACCTTGCAAAGTGGGATTCAAAGGGGTGTGTTTGTCTCCCACGAAAACCGGGAAGGAGAGAGAGCTAGGAGTAGGACAGTGGCCTTCTTGGCTGCTTCCAGGGCCCACTGGTGCTCTGAGGGCTTTATATCCCTTTTTCTCATTTAGCCCTTAACAAAAAGGGAATACTGTTACGATAAACTCACTTCACAGATACTGACAGAGGTCCAAAAATTCACCCCCAGTCTCCGAGCTAGCAAGTGTCAGAGCCAGAATTTGAAACCAGGATTCCCTATTCTAAGGTCCACGCTCTTACCCCCCCAGACTAGACATCTCCCAACAGTGGCCCCAGATGCAGCCTCTCATGCGCTAAATGAGCCTAAGCTGGGGACAACTTACGGCCTGAAGGATCAGCGGGCCCGGGGTGCTGGGGAGGGCTTTGCAGTCAGCTTCCAGCAGGGAGTCGAGGGGCACGCCTCGGCGTGTTTCTGTGGGACGTCAAGAGCCGAAGGCGCATTTCACATCCTGGAATGACGTTTGGGCTCCAACCTGCAAGATCTGGGCGACTGGAGCCAGACTTCTTTCCCTGCGTGAGGACTGAGCTCTCTGGAGAATGGTTGAGCTCAAACCTCACATCTCTCGAGCAGAACCCTTGGTCTCGGCAGTGATGAAAACATTAGCTGCATCACAGATCAAAAAAATCTGAGCTAGTAAAGAGGCGTTGAAAGAAAATGTGCTGCTGCCCCAGGGAGCGTTGGGTAAGGTGTGTACCAGTGGTCTGGGGTGGAGGGTCTAGCCCTGCAGGCAGGGGCCAAGTTCCCAAGACCTATCCCCAGGTCTTCTTCATTCTGTCTTGCAGTCTTCCAGGGCAAGCTCTTCCTTCCAAATCTACTCGACCCTCCTTCTGTCTTCAACTGTCTACCCCTCTGCAACCCCCCTACCCCTGGTCTGTCTTACCCACCATCTTCTTGTCTTTAAAGAAACAAACAAAAAATCACAATGTATCATGTTGACAATGATGCAGTGAAATGAACACTCTCTGAACCAACGCACCACTGAAGGGTAACTAACACCAAGAACTTAGTAGGTAAGTTCCAGATAATCTAAGACACAAAGTTTCACATAGAAGAATTGAGATTGTGTTTTTCAGTAAGAGAAACAAGGAAATAATAAATGCCCAGTAATAAGGAAATGGCTAAATAAATTAGAATATATCCCTAAGGAAGAAAATAACTACCCTGAGTAAACACCATGTTTTCAAAGAATGTTATCGATAGTTGTGATAAATAATAACGTTGTTCCCAGTTCATTACCCCTCCTTGTATCCACACCCTTTGCCATATGAATTTGGAATTCTTCCCATTAAAGAAACAGAAGATACTTCGTCATTCCTTCACTAGTCAACCAGGTGATAGCTTGGACCAATGGACCAATGATCCCCATGATGCAGGCAGAGGTTTAAAATACTTTGTGTGGCAGGGTTTGCTCTGCCACTGATGCCATGAGGACAGGCCTCAGATGGCCTGCTGGGCCCAGAAGGATGAGAGACATTAGAAGCAGACCCAGACCCAGCCAATAGCTTGAGTCAAGGCCAGCCAAGATCAGCCAGCCAACCCCCAGTTCACCCAAAACCATGCAAACGAAAGTAACTAATTGTTTTAAGTCGTGAGTTTGGGTTGTTTGTGATGATGCATTATTGTGGCAATAATTGAATGATGCACTGGGAAATGTCCATAATTCTATATTTAGTGAAAAAAAGATACACAAACACACACACACACACACACACACACACACACACAGGAAGATGATGCACTGAAAGTTAATAACACTTATATCTGAATTATATTTTTCCTTATTGTGTTTTGCTCTACTTTCCAAATTTCCTACAATGAGTAGGGATTGTTTTCATGTGCAAAAATACACGTATATGTATATAAATAACAGAAAGAAATACGGCAGCTAAGTATGTGTTTGTGGAAGATTCTCCACACAGCTCCCTCGATGAGAGTTTCTGAAGCACCAGGACCACAGACCTGTGCCTCCTGCTTCCCGGTCTTACTCCTCTTCGGGACCAAGCCAAGGAGGGCGCCAGGCGCAGTGGTGGGGTCAGGGGCCAGAGCAGAGATCTCCCGCATGTCCTGTAGAGACAAGTCTCCTATCCCCAAATCTGCCTTTGGGGATCATAAACTCCTACTGAGGGGAGTGAAGACAATGGCTCAGGTCAGGTGCCTTGACTTGTGTTGAGGCTTTCCCACCCCCTGCAGGAGGTTATGAGGAGAGAGCAGGGGCTCAGGATTCCATCCCAGGTTCAAGTTCACACTCTATCGCTGACTGACTGGATCACATTGTGAGCCTCTAAATCCCCATCTCCGATCGTGACATAGTGCCCGACTCATAGGGTTTTGTAAAATGGCCTAAGGGGTATAAAGTGCTTAGGGTCCAACCTAAGCGAGGCCCCAATAAATGGAAGCTGTTTTCATGACTTGTATTCCAACAGGAAGGGCTGAAGGGGAGGGAACACCCCACGGACCTCTTATCATTGCTTCTATTCTGGTCCTTTGTTGCTCTCCCTCGCCCCATCTGTCTTTACCCTTAGCAGTGCCACCCACAGCTACAACGCTCCTCCTGGGATTACTCTGAGTAATGATGGAATAGTAATTGAAAAATAAATTGTGCTCGGCTCCGCCATCTAGAGGCCACAGTGGGGTTCTGCAGGCAGCCCCGGGGCCTTCCTGCCGCCAGAGATGAAAAACGGGAGGGAGAGGGACTGAGGGGTTTGTTTCGCCTGGCCTGGATGACTCCACCAGGTGATTCCCCAGTGGCCCAGTCGAGGGCTCTAAGAAGGGACAGGAAGCATGCTGAGGTGGTACGTAATAATGTTATGGCTGTCCTACAGCTTAGGGCTTGCAGCCTAGGCTGTGGAATCACACCTTCTCGGCTCAAAGTCTGACGGTCCCTGTGAGTTTGGGTAAACCATTTTACCTTTCTGTGTGTCACGGGTCTCACTTGTAAAGTGGGGCTAATGACAGTATCTGCTTCACAGAACTTGGGGAGATTAAATTAGATACAGCATATACAACACAGTACCTAACACACCGTGAGTGGTCAACAATTGTTAACGATTACTATTTTTTACTTATTCAGGGAATTACTGCCAACATAGGAGAATGAAGTGAAATCGTGCATGCGAAGTACTCGGCATAAAGCCTCGTCCATCATAAAAGTCAACAAGTGGTATCTTTAGATCATTGAACATTGTCTATCGTTCCCAGTTTAATGGGGGCAATCCAATGATCAAGTCTAGAAGGTAAGATAATGTTGAGCATTAATCGTCCCTGAAGCTTCAGAAGTTGAAAGGCATTACTTAAAACTTTTGCCTGAGGCACTGTGCTTATGCAAGATATTTTCCCCGGGGAGAAACTGGGTAAAGAGTCCACGGGAACTCTGTACTAATTTTGCAACTTGTTGTGAGTCTAAAAGTATCTCAAAATGAAAAGGAAACCTTCTATTTGGGTGAATGAAAGTGCTTTCACGGTGGAGTAGGGGTTCCTGCGGGAGGGAGCGTACTTCCTACACAGTGGGGAGTAACGGGCGTCCGGGGAAGGCTGTGGGCTGGGGGGGTCCATTCGGACCTCAGGATCCGTCAGCTCGGTCATCTCGCTCTGGGCTTCCCGGCCCCTTTCCTGCCGGTGAAGTTGGGGTGTGGTGACAGCACCCACCTTCCAGGGTGAGGTAAGGAAACGAGCCAGTGCATGGGAAGCTTCTGGAACAAGGCCCAGGGCCGGCTACCCGGGGTTACCTATCCAACCACATCAAGGTATGGTCCGTGGAGAACCTTTTCCTTTTAGTAACAGCAGGACCTGGGAAACCTCCACATGATGAGAGGGGTCGGAATAGTGGCTTCCCTGGGTGGGGGGGGGGGGG